AAAAAAAAAAAAAAAAAAAAAAAAAAAAAAAAAAAAAAAAAAAGGCAGGCTGAGCAAGCCACAGGGAGCAAACCAGCATGAAGCCCTTCATGACCTCTGCATCAGCTCCTGCCTTCAGTAACAGACTATAACCTGTAATATGAAATAAAGCCTCCCCACCAACAAGCGGTCTTTCTGCCATGGTGTTTAGCACAGCAGGGCATCCGACACAACCCTGCGTGCAGGGATGGGGTCTCCAGTAGGCATGGTAAGCCAGGACACTGGTAGATTATGTTTTCAGCCAACAGAAAAACTCAGATACCTTTCATACAAACGATTAGTTGAACAAATCAAACCTGCTCAGGGGAATACATGCAGTCATGAAAAGGGGGGACCTTTACAAAGTGATCTGCAAGGTTGAATTACTAGGGTAGAAAACGAAATGTAACCACAGCACGAACTGTATGCTGTCATCTTTGGAAGAAGCGAGAGAAACTCCTGCACGACGCCATGCAGCCAGTGGCCCTCCTTAGGGAGACATTTTTGGTTGACGCATTTTAGAAAGCGAGGGAAGGATACTAGCATCCCGCACAGGTATCTGGGGACACACAAAACATAGCAAGCGTTACAGTGACTTCTACAAAGGATGAAGAGACCCAAACACAGCTCCATGGCTCACCCCCAATTCTTCAGGCTGCCTGCTGAGCTTCAGTCCTCCGCTCTCTCCTTTGCACGCTGACCACAAGAGCCTGGGAATAGTCCACAGTGGATGCTCAACGAATCAGTGACATCTTCAGCGATCCAACACCCTGCTAGAAAAAGTGCTTGTCTGCCTTCCTCTCACTACCACACCGCCCCCTCCCTTACTGGCAAACAGCCGCTTCTGTGACCTTAAGGATTTCCAAATGTCACAATGAACTCAATTACTTACCCTCCACATTCAGAGCTGGGCCTGGGGTCTACCAGGCGGATAACACTCAGAACTTTGCCCCGGGACCTCAGAGATTAGTGACAGAGATGGTTCTCTAAGCGGACTCTGGGAAACCAAGTGGTGAGCGCAGTGGCAGACACTGTCATGGGGCGGTGGGACATGCGCCTCGTTGTGCTTGTCAGGAAGAAGACTGTTGATGGGCAATACAGAGAAAGGAAGGAGCTCGAGGCTATATGGTGACAGACATGTTTGGGTTGTTCCTATTACTAGGGGTGGAGGACACAGTTCCATCTCCTCTGAGGCTGTTTCAGAAAAGTAGAATCCAGCTAGCACAGCCTCTTCTCTTCCACCGCGAAGAGCCCCGCCTTCTGTCTGTCTTCTTCTGTGCCTCCGTCCTTTCCATCCCAGGCTCCTATAGATGCTTGGCCCTGACTCTGACCAATGGGGTCATTGCCTGGGGTCCTCTTTCCTCCACCTCCACGTGTCCCTCACGGAGGGTCTCCAGACTAGCAACCAGAGAAACTACAAAGCGGAGAGAAAAGTGGAAGAGCGTCCTCTGGTGTTTTTCAGAACCGGAGCTCATGGACCAAAACTGAATGATGAGAATAGGTGAAAAGTCAAACCGGGTTCCAATCTGCACTGCCAAGGACGACCTCTTCCTGCCACAACAGCGTTGAGGACACCGTCCACCCAACCAGGAAGTCCCTAAGCAGGTACAGGCTCTGGAGACCAGTCATGAAGCAGACCGTTTCTCTTCCTCCAGCTCGTCTCCCCATCCTCCCAGGCTAATGCGTAGCTGTCCGTCTATGCTTTCCAAATGCTAGGTTGTGGAGGTGCGCCATGACATTGTAAATTAATTAACATTTGTATCCTAGACATTGAATCTAAGACCCCATGCATGCTAGGTATATACACTTCTATCACAGAACATCCTCAGCTCATGCAAAGCTCCCTGCATGGGGTTTTACTGCTTCTGATTCCACCCTCGCCTACCCTACTGCCCTCCAGACAATGTCTTTTCTTCCTCCTTTCTTCTTCATGCACTTGCTTGTGTTTCAGACTTCCGGGGCTTTCACGGGCACATGTGCTGTGGATGGCACACAGGCCTGAGCCTGAGCCCTGCCAATGTCTGCTGTCTTGTCTACAAACTCCTTTAGCCTTCTCCCCTATGGAAAATACATCCCCGCTTTATCTCCTATGCGAATAGCCTCAGACTGTGCAATCACAGCAGGGTTTCCTCCCCACTCCCATCAGCATATTTTGTCCTATGGCGGGGTGTCCCTTCAGCGTGAGTTAGAGCCTGTCCTCGAGTCTGCAAGCTCCCCAGCTGCCCCGGGACAGCCAGTATCACAGGCTTCTCTTCTCGCGCCTCTCCTGGCTACCAACTGCACATGTGGAGTCTGTATTTATTGCTATCACCCAAATCTAGCACTCAGCAGGGTGATGCTTCCTCTGCATCTGTTCGGGCTTGGCTTGGATTGGCTCACATAGCTGTGGTCCCCCTGGAGAAAGGCCCGAGGCTGAGTGAAACAAGCTGGTGTCCTCAGAGTCCCAAGGCTGGCACAGGCTTCTGCATGGAGACACAGGCTTCTGACAATGTGGCCCAGACACCACCATTCACACCGTGTCACTCAAACAGGGCCACACAGAAGGCCAGCCAGAGTCTGATGTGGGCATGTACTTAGCACACAGGAACTTTGAGAATCCTGGGGCTGCTTTAATTCCGCCTATGAAATGGTCAGAATTTCTTTTCTCTTGAAAATGTCCACTTTGTGTTATTGTTACTATTAGCTTTTCTGTTCTCCTAAATGGATACTTTAATGGGTAAGGAGGTGAGTGATTCTTCTACTTAGGTATAATCAGAACATCAGGCAGCAAAATAGAGCAGTTGAGCCGGTAGTCTTTGGACTAAGATTATACCTTAACATATATTTGTGTAAAAATTTGGAGTATAGGGGCTGGAGAGATGGCTCAGAGGTTAAGAGCATTGCCTGCTCTTTCAAAGGTCCTGAGTTCAATTCCCAGCAACCACATGGTGGCTCACAACCATCCGTAATGGGGTCTGGTGCCCTCTTCTGGACTACAGACATAGACACAGACAGAATATTGTATACATAATAAATAAATGAATAAATAAATATTTTAAAAAATTGGAGTATACCGGATGGTGGTGGCACATGCTTTTAATCCCAGCACTCAGGAGGCAGAGGTAGGTGGACGTCTGTGAGTTCAAGGCCAGCCTGGTCTACAGAGGGAGTTCTAGGACAGTTAGGGCTACATAAAGAAATCGTGTCTTGAGAAAAAAAGAATTTGGAGTTCTGAGATAAAGAGTTGGTTCAAACATGGTTAACTTGACTAATATAGACTAATAGGAAAAACAAAATAAGAATAAAATGGCAAAACTGTGTCACCACGTCTACAAAGTTCAGAAGACATTTGGAAGGGGTGCCATGACCCCACTTCCTTTGTCATTCTATCTGATCTTTGACCTTTGATTTTGACCTTCCCCTTTGTTTCTTTTTTCAGGGGCTTGGAGATTCAGATCCTCACACAATGTCTCTCCCAGAAGAACATCCCAGTCAGACACTTGGCAGCAAGACGCCATCGAGTCACCAATTTTCGGTATGAACTTGACATCACCATACTGCCCACAGGCAACTTGTAAAGACTGTGACTGTACACAGATGTGTCTGGGTGTCGCCTGGAGGGCCAGGGTTTCATTTCAGGGACTTCATTTAAAAAGAACAACACTTTATGTACATGCGTGTTTTGCCTTCTGTGCACCATGTGTGGGCCTGGTGTCCACAGAGGCCAGAAGAGGACATCAGATCCTCCGGAACTGAAGTTACAGACCGTGTGGGTGCTGGGAACCAAGATGGGTCCTCTGGAAGAGTGGCCAGTGCTCTTAAGCACTGAGCCACCTCTCCAGCCCCCTTGACAGTTTTTGCTGAGGAAGCTGCTCTACAAGAGACAAGCCCATCTCAGTCCACTCTGTGCTCTTTTTCTTGCAACAAAATGACCGAGAGGGGAGCAAGACCGCACTGGGCCACTGGACCCAGAAGCTGGGGGTTATTGACTTAATTTTCCTTTTTTTTTTTTTTCTTTATCTTTCTCCTCTGGGGATAGACCCCAGGGCCTTGCACTGGTAGGCAAGCCCTTTACCCCTGAGCAGCTCCCCCAGGGAAATGACATACACTTGGGCTGTAACCTGAGATAGTAGACTGTCTGGCTTCTCAAGGAAGACCCACAGATGCTTTTCAAGAACGAACTGATCTGTAGGCAGGACCCTATAAGAAAGCAAGGTTTTATTCTCTCTCTGTAGGACTTTAGATGGAAAGGTACACGGTGAGGAATCACTTACAGTTTGTTCTGCCAACAACTGTTCCCAAACACTCAATAATGCAATCATTTACTTAGGAAAATACTCGGACGACAGCCTCCTTTGCCTTGCATTCTGGAGTATTCCGAAATTCTGGTGTCTACATGATCTGTCCTGGTTTCTTCCAAACAAGGCCGCAGCTCACCTCAGCCATCCCTCTGTACCGCCACCAGAATGGCTGTGCTAGACAGCTCTCAAAAGCCACCAAGTCCAAACCTAAACAGATCCACCAGCCTTTGCCTCCTGAGTGCTGGGATTAAAGGCACGAGACGTCCCCGCCTAGCTAAGGATGTGTCTTAAATTTATCTCTTGAATGATGAACCTGGCATTCTGCCCGTTTTCAATGACACATTCAGCTACTGGTGTACTGCTGCTAGTGGTTTACTGAGGCAAGGACACCTTGCAAAGATGAATGCTTCTGTGGGCAAAAATCATTACGTTTTCATTGATCTCATGGCTTCCACGCCCTCCCCCTCACAGCTGCCAGAACTGTACGCATCAGCTGAGAATTTTAATAACGAGAGCAAGAAATCAAATTTCCAAAAACTCTGCGCCACCTCCTTTGAGGAAGCTCGGCAACTCCTCGGAAAAAACCTGGGTACTGTGCCATTTGCTGCTTCTGGTGCTGAGAGAAAAGATGAGCCCCGCCCTGCCGTACAGAGCCCGGTTAGCAACGAGGAGCAGAAGCTCACGTCCATGGCAGATCTACTTCACCACAGCCTGTTGATGGGCTCCCTCGTCCCTCTGGAGCAGTTTTCCAGGACCCAGAATAGACTGATCCAGGCAGGCATCCCTCCTCCGGTGCACACATTTCCGTATGGTTTCAGGACCGACGAGCCGATAGTTACGCCAACGCCCTTTAGAAAGAGGCTTCCAAGCCACACCTTCCGGAAACTTCTCCTGGCTTCTGTTACCCCGGACAGGCTGGTGTTTGAAGATAAATCGATGCGATTCTTCTCCTTGGAGCCAGGTAATATAAAGAGGCTCACCTGGGGGATTGCGGGAAGGATGCAAATCTTGCTAAGAATCTAGGTCGATTTCCAGTCAAACGCTCAAGCATTGACCTGCGAATATCTTGCCTATTCTAGGGTTTGTAACTTATGCTGTTGCAGCCTTTGGTGGCAATAACACAAAGGAAAGGGTTTTAAAACTTCCATCCTGTGCCGGGTGGTGGTGTCACACACCTTTATCCCAGCACTCGGGAGGCAGAGGCAGGTAGGACTCTGTGAGTTTGAGGTCTACAAGAACTAGTTCCAGGACAACTAGGGCTGTTACAAAGAGAAACTCTATCTCAAAAAACAATAAATAAGTAAATAAATAAATAAATAAAAATCCCATCCTGTGAACACTACACACGTACTCCAGGGGCTAAGGTGGGAGGATTATTAGTTTGAAGCTAACTTGGACAATTTAACTAGACCCAGCCTAAAATTAAATGGTGAGGGATTGGGGGTTAACAGAGACAGCAGGAAGTTACTCATGGCAGAACACTTGTCTAGCACGTTCAAGGTTTTGAGTCCAACCCCAAGAATGACAAAATAATAGAATAAGAGAATCTAGGGGCCGGGCGGTGGTGGCGCACTCCTTTAATCCCAGCACTCGGGAGGCAGAGGCAGGCAGATCTCTGTGAGTTCGAGGCCAGCCTGGTCTATAAGAGCTAGTTCCAGGACAGGAACCAAAAAGCTACGGAGAAACCCTGTCTCGAAAAACCAAAAAAAAAAAAAAAAAAAAAAAAAAGAATTAAGAGAATCTAGGGCCAAGACTCACATCCATCTGTGAGAGGGGACGGTGTGAGCAGGACACGTGACAGCCCCGATGAAGCTCGTCAGCTCCGGAAACACCTGCCACTACTCCTTTTCTGCATCCTGGGCTTGTTAGAGTGTTATCCTTATAGTTTCCTTGACTTCATTGCCTTTCACAGTTGGTGGTATGTGTGCATGCATGTATGCATGAGTGCATGTGTGTGTGTGTGTGTGTGTGTCTGTGTGTGGTGTGTCTGTGTATTCCCTAGACCTTTCCAGGTTGTTTTATATCTTTCTTTTTTTTTTTTTTTATTATGTATACAGTATTCTCAGTATTCTGTCTGCATGTCTGCCTGCAGGCCAGAAGAGGGCACCAGATCTCACTACAGAGTGTTGTGAGCCACCATGCGGTTGCTGGGAATTGAACTCAGGACCTTTGGAAGAGCAGGCAGTGCTCTTAACCACTGAGCCATCTCTCCAGCCCTGTTTTATCTCTTTCAAAGAGGATCACTGGCAGGAAGAACTTTGTTTCTGTTTCTCACTAGTTTCCCTTAGGATATCAGAGACCACATACAACAGGAGGCACTCAGTTCCGGGGTGATGTGGGATGTTCCTCTGTATATGTGTTGCTTATTAGGGACTTATTCAGTCTGTGGAGGGTGCTGATGTGTGATTCTTTGATTCTTTCTAGGCAAGCAGTTCCTGGACCTAGTGGACCTGGAGTGGCGGTATTTCAACGGACTTGCAAAGTGGGGCCACATTCCCAGGAAGTTCTCATTCATGGACATAAAATACAACACTGAGAAGAGATTTGTTGAGAGCCAAGGCATGCCTGGTCCGTTTTTTCCTCCTCTAGTTCAGAAGACTTTGGTGATTTATCCTCAGCTTGACCATCATGAAGAGGGACATTATTCTCTTAAGTGGAATGTATAGAACACTGTCAGTAGATCCGGACACGGATTGTCGTGTTTGAGAACATTAAATTTATACAGGAGACAGAAATGCATAGGATCCATTTTTCTATACACCATCTGTGCAAAGCCTAAATCCAAATACTCACATGGAGAAAAATGCACACCTGATCTGCTAACATTAGCCCTGGTTCACGATTATGACACTCGTCTGAGTCAGGAATGGAGATTCGAGAATAAGTCTCCAGCAAGAGCCAATCTTTACAAAGTTTACCTGACAGCACAAGTCTCCACACTGAACCCTGGATCCCACTCCTCCCACAGGTAAGTGCATGGTGATTCCATCCCATAAAAGAGTTGAACAACACAAGAACAGAAGAGTTAAAAATGGGTACAGAGATCAACGGGAGGAGGACCCAAAATAAAGTCTATTACTCAGAGGTAGGGAGGAAGGGGCACCCATCAAACAAGAACAGGGTGATCTGAAAAAGGAACAAGCTGGAAATCTTGGAAGTGAAAAATAAACCATTGAAATAATGACACGAACTCCCATGCCACCCCCCAAACCCGGGTACGTCAGAAGAGACAGGCTAGTATTTTGGAAAGCGGTACTGAGAGCTTCTAGCTATACATCAAAAGGGATGCTATGGAGGATTCTCTATAGCAATCAGATAAGGCAGAACACAGCAAGAGCAGAAAAGAGGTGAGTTTAACTCAGCATCAAGCAGGTCATTTAAGATATAAAGAGAAGATCTGGAGAGGAGACTTGGTGGGCGGGCACTTGTCCGGTACGGACGAGGCGCAAGGTTAAATCCCTAGCAACAGAAAGGCAAAAACAATAGAACAACACAGTTATTCAGAAATGAAGAAACACACAAGACTTCATATAGAAAACCTTTGTTACATCACTAACAAGAAATTAGGAATAAATACCACCCCGGCGAAAGGGCAGCAAAACCGCAGTGCATCAAACAGTAGAGGAGACAGAATCTTATAAAGAAGAATGAATTCCACTAGAATAAGTAAATGACGGTGGAATTTAATTAGCATTAAACATTGGAGGGCAAAGGTCACCTACTGCAAAGTCTGAGGGAAGCCAACCACCAAGCAGCCAAATTCTTCAAAGAGCTGGAAGTTCAATAAATATACTTAAATATATGAGAGCCTCAGAGTGTTTACTGTCTACAACCCATTCAGAACCAAACAAAACAAACTCCATTAAAACAAGGATAATAAGAACGCAGAAGAACCAGGTGGCGGCAGCAGCGAATGCTTTTAATCTCAGCACTGGCCAACAGACTGAGTTCCAAGACAGCCAGGGCTGTTACACGGAGAAACCCTGTCTCAAAAAAACAAAAACAAAAAGAGCCCAGGAGAAATGCAGGAAATACAAAAGAATGGGCGAAGTATTCATTTCATATGTATACATGACTTTGTACATATTATGTTCATATCTGTTGCTATGTATCCTAGAATTGAATTAGAATGCGCTTAGGCTGAGGATGGCAGCGCACACACGCACACCCCATGCTCAAGGTCACAAGTGTGGTGAGAGGTTGGGTTTTTGAGCAGGGTTGCATTTGCATGCGACTGCAGTCCCAGAGCTGGGAGACAGAGGCAGCCTGAAATTTTGAGTCCGAGGTCAGCCTGGTCTGTGTAGTGACAGCCTGTGTCAGCAAGGACAATGACAGCAAGCAGGGTTCTACGTGTAAACGCTACTCCCCAGCCCCACCCTTGCCTTCCTTCCCTTTCCTCTTTCCTTATCATTCCTGGTGAGGCCAGCTACAGCCCTGGCTGGCCTGACACTTGTTACGTGGCCCAGACAGACTGTCAGCCTACACCAGTTCTCTTGCTTCTGAGTTTCAGCTGTGAGAGATACAGGTGTGCACCACCGTGCTTGGCTGAATTCATCTTTCATTTTCCACATTTGTGCTATTTTTGTTTTGTTTCATCGTTTTACCTTTGATTCTCTTTTTTACTTTTTGAGGCAGAGTCTAACTGTAGCTCAAGCCTGATGTGAACCCCTTCAGCCTCAGGTTTTACACACATTCATTTTTAAAACGGGATCTTAGTGTCGAAAGCTTTACTGTCTGTAAATAAGATTTCTGGGCCATGTGCGCTTGTGTATTTAGTATGCAAAATTTCCTGAAGCTAAAAATTCAGTTACAACTTTTTTCATGAATGTTGTAGTTCCAAAGGTTTTGGTCATGCTAAGGTTATGAGATGAACAGGCAAGTTTTCCATAAGCTTTTGAACAATAAAAATATTATGTAAAGTCCAGCTAAAAGCTCAACTGAAAAACTATTCCATTGAAGATAGTACTTGTTGATTTAATTCTTTTATGCGTGTTCATGCATGTGCATGCGTGTGCTCATGTGCATGTGAAAGCCAGAAGTCAAACCAAATATTTTTCTCCAATCATTATCCACCGTAGTTTTTGAGCCAAGGTCTCTCTCTAAGCCTGGCACTCTCTGATCCAGTTAGTCTGACTGGCCAGCAAGTCCCTGGGATTCTCTTGTCTCTACCTTCCCAGGGCTGGAATTAGAGAATCCTGCAATTGCTCGCACCCTCTCCTCCCTCCCCTCCCCCCACTCCTTTTCCCTCCCTCTCCCTCCCCCTTCCTTTCTTTAACACAGGTGCTAAGGATTGAATTGGAGTACCCATGCTCACTTATTGACTGGGCCATGTCTCCAGACCCCTTTCTGGCTGTTTTTATTATGAAAATAAAGATTCATAAAACAACAAAATTGTATAATATAAAACCAACATCAGACAGGTGGTGGTGGCCCACACCTTTAATACTAGCACTTGGGAGGCAGAGACAGGAGGATTTTTGTGAGTTCGAGGCCAGCTTGGTCTACAGAGTGAATTCCAGGATAGCCAGGGTTACACAGAGAAACCCTGTCTAGAATAAACAAAACTAAAGCCAAACAACCAAACAAATAAAACACCAAATTTTAAAGTCATTAAGGTGAAATTTTAGCCCATTGTTTCATCTGGATTTTGTTGTGTCTACTGATGTATTTTGAATGCAATCTTGCCCCTCATGTGTAAGAATATTATACATACACATTTATTGTGCACCTCAGAGAATATGCCACATTCTTTCTTGACCACAATAAAATTATCCACCAAAAATAGTGGCAATGATTCTTTGGCCCCATCTTTGTGTCTACATTAGGCTTTCTTTTGCTGGGACTGAAACCTAAGAGCAAACATTGAAAGGAAGGAAGGCTTTTTGGCCCATGGTTTTACAGTCTTCACTCCATGGTGATCTGGCGGCTTTGTTGAGAGGCCTGTGGTACTGCAGAATACTATGGGAGGAGGGCCAGGTAGAGAGTAGTTGCCCATCTGTGCAGACAGAGGCAGAAGGAGGGTGGGATCAGTGACCAGCAAGGACCTTTAAAGGCACATCCCAGTGACCAGCTAGAACCTTTAAAGGCACATCCCAGTGGCCAGACAGAACCTTTAAAGGCACACCCCAGTGACCAGCTAGAACCTTTAAAGGCACATCCCAGTGACCAGCTAGAACCTTTAAAGGCACACCCCAGTGACCAGCTAGAACCTTTAAAGGCACATCCCAGTGACCAGCTAGAACCTTTAAAGGCACATCTCAGTGGCCAGACAGAAACTTTAAAGGCACATCTCAGTGACCTACTTCTGAAAACTCCATCCCCTCCCAATAACACCATCAAATCAAAAGCCCCTGAATGCATTAACTCACTGATGAAGTTAGACCCCTCATGATCACCTCCACATCTGCTGGCTGCTGCAGGGGAACTAAGCCTTCGACACACCAGCCTCTTCAGGCGGTTCTTTAGAGCCACACCCAAGTGTCCAAATTCTCTTCTCACTGTTCAGACCTGCCTTTCTAGGTTCGTAGATCTAAGCCTCGCCAACGCTGTTTGGTGTCCCCTTCACAGGTCAGCTAGGGCACTCCGTGTCTGTGTCTCTTCTCACCCTCCTCTGAACCCCCATCATTTCTCCGAATCGCTCATGACAGAATGGAGGATATCTGCTCTTCTTTGCCTGCCTGCTTCTTTTCTCTCTTAGTGATTATCCAGGCTCCTTGTCAGGAAAGTCCCAGTAGTGTGGAGTCTTAATGGGGATTAGTGGCCACTTTATAGAGTCTAGAGAAATCCGTGCTAGGCTGAGGGATGGTCACACAAATCAGACCCCTCCTGCTGGAAGCTTCATTTGGAGTCTTAGCAAGTCCTGGGGTCTGTTGAAGGGTCCCATCCCTCTAAGAAATGGCGGAGGGTAGCAGGAAGAACCCCGGGCAGAGCCGCACGTTTGCTTCTGTACTGAGTATTAAGTTTGATTTCCGCATACTCTCAGGTCTGGCTCGAAAGCCAAAGTTGAAGAGCCAGGCTTTGCTTGGAGTAAATAGGAACCAGACCCACAGACGTATCTATGAGACGAAAGAGAGAGTGCCGTTGTTGAGATGACATGGCCATACCTATCAGTGCTAGCCCATCACTGGGTTCCAGGAACAGAGCAATGGACCATGAAGTTATGGGTCTGTGGTCAGCAGGAAAGGGCCCCGCGAGGATGGTCCATGTCCTAGAACCTGGGCCTGCCTCCTCATGATGGAAGAAACTTTGCAAGTGTTGGGTTGAGGATTCACAGTTGGTGGCGGGGAGTAATTCTGGAATAAGCACGAAGTCCTAACAGTGGCAACCCCCTCCTAATGAGGAAAGAGGAATAACTACGGAAGCAGGGTTAGAAAATACTGCACTACTGACCCAGCAAGGAACGTGTGCAGTCTTTACAAGCTGGGACCCTCCCCAAAGCCTAGAAGAAGAGTCAGCCCTCTAGACAACCAGACTTTAGTGTATAGCTCAGTGACTTTTCCAACCCACAGAACTCGAAATACATTTGTGTCACTGGGGCTGGCTCTTGTGGAGTACACCTTTAATCCCAGGACTTTAGTCAAGGCCAGACAAGGCTACATGGAGAGTTCCGGGTCAGTCAGAACTGCACAGTGATACTCTGTCTCAAAAAACAACAAAAAACTGTGTTGTTTTAAGATGTTAAGTTTGCAATAATGTGTTAAATCAGCAAAGAGAAAGCTAACACAGTATCCAGTCCGTGGGGGGAAGACAATGATTGGCAGACCTACCAAGGCCATGATCCTGGAAAGCAGGCAGGATCCTATGGCAATCAGGTGGTATCTGCAAGTGAAGGAGAAGGGGATGTGAGGACCGAGTGTCAACACGTCTGGAAAAGTGATGCTGGGACCCAACAATTGGTTAGGGACGATGAAAGAGAAGGGCTGGAGAAGGAAGCTCAGAGCAATGCTCACACGTGCTGAGGTGCGCACAGATACACAACAGAAGTGTGCCTGCAGCTTAAACGTTCTAAGGATGGTCAAAAAGAAAACAGGGAAACCAGAGAGGGAACGAATTCTCAGTAAAGAGGAAGTTTGCTCAGCCCAGGGCCTCAGCTCCTAAACACACACACCTGCAGCTCAACAACAGACTTGAGAGTCACGGACTTAGGCTCAGCAGGGAAGCGTCTAGAACCATCGTTGGGCAGGATGAGGCTATACACACCTGCAGCTCAACAGGCTAGAGAATCGCTGACTTAACCTCACCGCGGAAGTGTCTAGAACCATCTTTGGGCAGGATGAGGCTTCATAGCGACTCATGACTGGTCAAAGTGCAAAGAATGAGTGTCTGTGGAGTACTCAGCCACAATGGGATGCCGGTACCACATACCCTCCCCTAAGACTCCTAAGACGGGGCAGGAAGATTCTAAAGGTCAAAGGTTGAGGAGGGCTGAGGGTAAACAGTGTCTTCTGGACGTGACGGGGTTACTGCACCTGTGCACCCACAGGGGCTACGGTTGCCTGCACAGGAACAAGGCAGCCAGCATTCCAGCATGGAGGGCGGAGCAGTGCATGAGTGTGTCCCATCCCCGGCTGAGAGAGCTTGGTGGGGGAGGAAAAGGCCAGCTTGGAGAGGCCATTTAGCAGGCTCCCTCGCAAGTGCATGGGCAACCTCAAACAGTTCATCACCGAAAGCCGCACCCCAGCATGGGTGCTGACACCCCACAGCTGCAGTAGATGAAGCCCCCATCTCGGTTGACTTTCCCTAGTCTACGTGCTCTAGCACCTCCTGAGGCAACATTCAGCTTGGGCAGAATTTCGTGTAACCACCAGGGGAGTGCAGGAAGGCAGGGCTGGTGTCTCAGGTGGGGGTGAACAGACCTCCGGACCCCCTCCAGGAGGGGCACAGACAAGTAATGTCACAGCTGCTGTGGTGAAGATGTAGCAACCCCTCTGCTCTAAGACAGCAGTCTGCATCCACTCCTCCCCCAGCTCTACTGTCTTTCTGCCCATCCTCCCACAGCGGCCTGAGCTCGGGCGAGGCTGATGCAGACAACAGGTGATTTCTTCCTGATAGTTTGCACTGCGCACAGACAACAGTCACATCAGCAGCTGTCAACATCTACGACAGTCACTGAAGGGAGACACTGCCTGTGCTGGTGTAGTCACAAGGCAATATGACGGGGCTACTGTATCTGTTTAACGATAGCTGGTGTCATAGTCTGGGTCTCTTACTCAACAAAACCACACATGGTTCATCTCTACGCCTTCATCTCATCTAAAGCTTTTTAAGGTCATGACCTTGCAGGCAAGCCTGGCTGTTACTGCTTTTTCTACTCTATAAACTTGTAGTGTGTGTGTCTGTTTGTGTGTGTGTGTGTGTGTGTGTGTGTGTGTGTGTATGCAGCAGGGGAGGTAGCTCAGCAGGGTCGGGGAAGGCAGGTATTAGCAGGGATCTGTTTTCTGTTTATTAGTAACTGGGCCTAGGCTGCCTCAAGGCACCCTTCAATGGGAACCATGAGAACGCTGTGACCTTACAGCCATTGGGCAGGTTGCTGGATGGATCTGGAACAGTCTGTGCCGCCCTCATACCACCTAGCACGTCTTTCCTGGCATGCTGATGGCGCGGCACAAAGAGCCCTCAGCCCGGGGTGACCGTTTCCCGTGGCGGGCTGCACAGTGCCTAGCTAGCGGGAGGAGCTTGCCACTCAGTCCCAGGGGGATTTCTCCATGTCCTGCAACCGCACTGTGCCGTCTGCAGTAACATGAAGCTTAGTTCTGGCATGCAATCCACAGTGGTGACAGTAATCTCTATTGTTTCCAAGGGCCCCTCAGAACACAGAACACCCCGGCAAGCCCTCCTCGGAAGGTGGCGCACCCTGGCAAGGTGATTCTGAGTTAATAACCTTATGGTTGGTTTTCTAATTATGAATCCCTGGCAAGAGCGTCCTTAACCACGTCCCTATGCTCATAGAGTCCTGTCTAGAAAACGTCATCTTAGTCACTGTTCCATTGCTGTGAAGACACCCTGTCCAAGGCAACCTATAAAGAAAGGATTTAACTGGGGACTGGCTTACTGTTTGAGAGGCTGAGTCCATGACCATCATGGTGGGGGCCATGGCGGTGGAGCAGTAGCTGAGATCTGATGTCTTACCCACAAACAGGAGGCAGAGGGTTGGGGAACCCATTGGCAGTGACAACCTACCCCAACAAGGTCACACCTCCTAATCCTTCCTAAACAGTTCATCAACTGGGAAGCAAACATTCAAATAAATCAGCTTATGAGGGCCATTCTCATTCAAACAACCACAAGCAGTCTCAGGGGGAAAAGGAAGTCAGGGTTGGAGGTACTGGTGAGGTCATCTGGCAATGCTCAGTTGTTTCAAGGACATGCTCTTTTTTTTTTTTTAATATTTATTTATTATGTACACAGTATTCTCAGTATTCTGCCTGCAGGCCAGAAGAGGGCACAGATCTCATTACAGATGGTTGTGAGCCACCATGTGATTGCTGGGAATTGATCTCAGGACCTTTGGAAGAGCAGGTGTTGCTCTTAACCACTGAGCCATCTCTCCAGCCCAAGGACATGCTCTTGAACAGCTTCTTTACCCAGACAGGAAGACTGGGAAGAGAGTCTTCTTCAACTGTTTTCAGCCCTAGCCATGTATTGAGAGCAGTGAGACCCCAGATCCTGAATTTCTTGTAATCCCCTGATCTGAGTGCCTACAGCTGCTCTGAGCACGAGACCTTCAGGAGTTCCTGATGTCAAGAGAGTGGTTTCTGGTGGGTTTGGCTGGGGCGTGGCTATCTCTATATAATCTGCCCCTGAACACAATAAAGGGGGCATTCTTAGGGGATTCAAGGATGACCCATGTTGCAGTCTCTTTGTCTGTGTGTGTTTGTGTATTTTAACCTCCAGCCCCTTGCCTGAAGCTCGGGAACTGGGTGCCAGCGCACAGAGCGCAGACACAGGGGCGCCGTGCGCGGCAGCCATGTATTAAGAAACGGAGGCTCAAAAACGTACAAAAGAATCCCAGCACTCTGGAGGCAGAGGTAGGCAGATCTCTGTGAGTTCGAGGCCAACCTGGTCTACAAATCAAGTTCCAGGACAGCCAGGACTACACAGAGAAACCCTGGGGGGGGGGGGGCAAAAAAAGAAAACAACAACAAAACAACCAACCAAAACAAAATGACGACGACAACAGCAACAACAAAAAACCATGCGAATGATACCAGTGTTCAGAGTCAGACCTCAGAACCGTGCACCCCGATAACTGGTAAATGCTGCCAGAGTTAAGAATTCGGAGGCAGAGGTAGGAGGGGCTCCAGGAGTTCGAGGCCAGCATGGTCCACTCAGCGAGCTCCAGGTCAGCCTGGACTGCACAGAGAGACCTCTCCAGAAAGACAAAATCCTGCTTCGCGGCTACCTCGGAGGTTACCCGTTTGCGGTGTGGGGGCGGGAGGCGATTGTTCTGTTCTGGAGGATAGAGCGCACCGGCGCTCGCACAGGGCGGGGAGCAGGCGGAGGAGGGCGGCGCCGCGGGGCTGGGGCCTGGGCTGCTGCTCGGCCGGAAGTGCCCGCCCGCCCGGGGCGCCTCGGCGGAGAACGCGCTCGCTCGCTTCCTCGCTTCCTCGCTCGCTCCCACGGCATCCGGACCAGGCACCCCGCAGCCCCGCAGGTAAGCGCCGCGCCTCTCCCGCAGGATGCAACGTGGGCCGCCCTGCTCGCACCCTCTCCGCTCCCGTCTCATCCTCCTCGGCTCAGGGTCACCTCCCCCTTCGCCTCCCTCTTATGTCTCTCCTTCTCTTCTCTCTCTCTGTCCTTCTCCTGTCTTTCCTTTCCTCTCTTAGTTTCCGCCTTCTTCCCCAGCAAACCCTGCTAGTGGCCCCCGAGGCCCCCGGATCGCCAGGCACAGGCAGCTGCAGCCGGCTGCCTGGGATGCTTCTTGCCGGGGTGGAACTACCGAACTACTTTTGCTCTGTTCTAGAAGCGCTCGCTGGGGTTTTGATACGCTTTCTACGCTGTATTTAAAAATGTTGGCAATTACTTTAAAGATGTAAGACAAGATTGGGAAACAATGCCAGTTTTGATGAGTTCTTTCTAGCATTTTTAGAGTGGTGAGTTTGGGGAAGTCACTACGGGCTAGCTGTTTCCAGGTGTCGCATTCGAAGTGTGTGTTAAACTTTCAAGGTTTGAGGCTTTCTTTGTCTGGTTAGGGGTCTCAGACCCCCTCCCCCCTTTTCTATACTGAGGAAGGTTCTTTAGAAGCGGAGTAAAATGCACGCGTTTTATGAGCTGTTTGTTCAGCAGTGATGGAACGAGTGACCGTGACTGAATGAATGGTCAGCTTGGGTCAGATTTGACAGTTGTGTTTCTGAAGGTGAGGGCTGGGGGCTGGGAAGCCACCAGCGGTACTGTTGGGTCTGAGTTAGCACACTGCAACTCCTGACTTAGAGAGCTGGTCCCCTCACTACAGGCAGGAATCATTTTCCCTCGCAAACAGAAAACGGTAGCCAGTTGGCTGTAGACAATCTTGTCAGGGTGGACCCGCCTGAAAGTGTTAGTGAATGATAAGTTGAAGTCTTAAAATTCGGAAAGAAATTATGTTGGTTTTCAGGCCTAATTCTTCCTCTTGGGGAATGATTTTTATATTTTGCACATTTAAATGAATGAATTTTGTACAAAAATAACAGAAATGTTGCTTGCAGGGAGCCTGTGTGTGTGTGTGTGGGGGGGGTGATGGGACCCTGTGACCTGTTCTGGCTGTTCGGCCTTGAAGTCCATCTGCTTTGTAATTACTGGTGACTCTCAGCTGGTGATTGGTGGGGGATGGGAAGGGTTTACATTTGTTTTTTAGGCCTAGGGCACAAAGAGTGTGAGCTCTTTTGGTGTGTTTCCATGGCCACCTCAGCAGGGAGGCCTGCAGTGTCCTGTGAAAGACAGGACCAGGGAACAAGGCCTGTGAGGGGCGTTTTGGAGGGCTGGGATAAGGGAGTTTGCTGGAAGCAGGGGCCTGAGGAGCAGCCGTTGGGAATCCTGGGGTGCCAAGGGGAAAGGAAGCCCGTGAGCCCTATGTTTTACCCTCAAATTTCTTTACATGGTTGTCATTTTTTTTCTTTAAAAAAATAAAGATTCCTTTACTTTAGGACCTAACATGAAAAATAACATCTGTAGTTTTTTTTTTTTTTTTTTTTTTTTTTTTTTTTT